TTATTGTTTTAAAAAATGATGATTAGAATTTTAATAAAACCTATGATGAAAGTGAATGTGTACATTTTGCTTGTCGTTCTTGAGAATTTACAGCTAAAACATGAAAATCTATTTTATTATTAGATTGTAGAGTACCGTGTGGGTTTGAGTGTTGTTGAATTAGGAACATGTTTATTTCTGCTTGAAGAATATATATATATATATATATATATATATATATATATATATATATATATATATATCATATCTTGTTTGTTTTTCTTTACATCTTCGTTTGGACTCAATTTGAGTCCGCCATTTTCAATAGTCCAACTACAAGAAAATAGCGGACTCAAATTGAGTCCAAACGAAGATATAAAGAAAACAAAGAAGACAATAATATATATATATATATATATATATAGATAGATAGATATATGTGTGTGTGTGTATGTATGTATTAAACAACAACATTAGAAGTGACAAAGACATTAACATTTGTGTTTGTGTGTGAAACGTAAAGAGTTTGTATGTTGGTGAAAATTCGTACGTGTATATGTGTGTTTCATGGTGTTTTCCCATAAGTGGGCGAAAACGTAGATTTCTACAAGAGATTACATTTTTAAATGTGTCCGCTGAAATGCAAAGTGAAAAAGAGAACGCGGCAAGAAGTTGCCCAGTATTTATAGTGTAGGGAGAGCGATCCCTAGTGAACAATTAGGGAATTAAGGAGGAGCTAACTCCGACAAGACTGTTTAATTACAGGAATAATTTTTAAATTTACAACATTCTAAAAACTAAATACAATTAAAACTAATACAATGCAGTGCTTATCATTTCCAAATTTATAAAGAAATAAATGTGAAAAATTTTATTCATAAATTTATATAAATTATTAAAATATGTGAACCAACTACAAGATAATTTTTATTATTTACCATTTTATAAAGTTGGAATCAAAGAGCTATTAACGAACCGATGTTTTGCCAACCATTCCAATAATAAATAGTGTTTATTATTTTTGTTGTCAATTCTCAAGAACAAAGAAAATGTGTAAATTCACTTTCATATGTTTAGTTTTTTTTTTCATTATTTTGTAAGTGGTGATTAAAATTGTATTCTAGTCATCCATTTTTAAAATAATAAACATTGTCGATGAGTGAAGGTATTTAAAAAGGCGGTGTCATGGGGAAAACCGTCCCATTTGACACGTTTGTCCATGTTTGCCGATTGTCCTTTGTGTATATAATCTTTTATTGCCATATATCTTTGTCGTTTCTCGTACGATTCTCAACCTAATTATAGAATTCTCGACTTCGTTTTCTTTCTCCGTCTAACTTACCCTAACAGTTGAGTAACACCCCCCTCCCTCTCTCTCTCTCTCTCTCTCTGTTTTATTGCCTTCTCCACTAATAGCTTTCGCTGTCCTTCATAAACCTGTTAATATTTATTACATGCATTTGTGGAGACAGTAATTCGACTTTCAGCAATAAAATGAAATACAAATTTAGATTCACCTTACGGCAGTGCCAGATTAACCTAGTAGTAAATGCTATGGGCCCCGCATTTTCGAGGACCCAGCATTAAACACTTTGAAGCTATCTCGTGAAATCAGCTTCATACAATCTGGCAAAGCTGATGTTTACATGTCGGAGGAATTGTATCTTTAATTGTTTATCCTTTTGGGTAGCACCTTATAGTGTCCGTTAAATTACAAATATAATGTCGGAGTTAGCTCCTCCTTAATTCCCAAATTGTCACTAGGTGTCATTCTCCTTATACTATAAATACTGGGCGACTTCTCGCCTTGTTCTCTTTTTCATTTCTTCATTTCAGCGACTATACTGTAAGCTCTCTTAGAAGATCTGCGTCTTCCCATTTGTGGGAGACGCCATGAACAATATACACCCATACATGTACGTACGAACATTCACCAAAATACGAACATTCACCAAAGAACAGACACAAACGTTCACACACACAAATATTATTGTCTATGTTTATTGTAAAATTGTTTTATTTAATACATATATTTGTTATCGGTTTTGTTTGTTTTCTTTATCTTCAGTAGGACTTAACTTGAGTCCGGCAATTTTCTTGTAGTTGGACATTTCTAGCAGGAAATAAACGCACGTGTTTTCTAATACAACAGCACGTTAACACACACGGTCCTCTACAATAACATTATATTTGTAATTTAACGGACTCTGTAAAAATTTTACCCAAAAAGATAGAATAATTTGCCTTCATATTTTCTGGTTTTGCTTATTATATTAACGAAAAAGATTTTTCATCATTTCTCCCAAGTATGTCAGTAAAGCCACTGAGACGCAAAGGGTTACGTTAGTAAGAAGAAAGACAATCAAATAACAGCATTCAGAAAGACAGAAGACAATGATTAATGTTGTATTTAAATTTTTGAAGCTCATAGTTGACATGAAAGCAAGAAGCTAGAAGAGAATTCAACAAGCGAGAAGTGCGAGAGAAGAAACTATTAGAATAGAACCTACGTTTGCGTCTAGCTCATTCGACAGTAAAATAATGAGACGTTAATACACACACACACACACACACACACACACACACACACACACATATCTATCCATCTATCTATCTATATATATATATATATATATATATATATAGCTTTAGCTCGTATCCATGAATTTAATTTCTTCTTTTCTGGTCACCTTCCTTGACGAATTTCAACTTAACATCAAGAAGATAGAGACTAAAAAGGATTATTATAAAAATAAATATATATATGTCTATACTGTATTTACATTAGTCGGACTATTGTCCTCATCTTTGTCGCCATATTTGTCACAGCGTTTCGGCCGTTGTACGCTCCGGCCTTCTTCAGGTGGTTGGAATTTCTAACTGAACCCTTTATTTCGATCACTGGGGTACAAATGTGACAAATATGGCGACAAAGATGAGGACAATAGTCCGACTAATGTAAATACTGTACATAATACCTCATCTCAGAAATATAGACAGAATATGTCTATACTATTTAATAATATATATATATATATATATATATATATATATATATATGCGTATATTTCGATAGCATGTTTTTCATTAAGACATGTTTTGTTGTATAGTTTAGACATGTTCTGTCTACTTATTTTCGATAAGATCCTTTCATACTCACGGTTTGAATGGTTTTAGCGGTTATTCACTGACAGACCATTCCTCATTCAATTTCTAAGAAATTCAACTTTCAGATAACAACAATTTCTCTTTGATAATAATGAATACTACAATATTTATTTTTTAATAAACAATACCCTGATGATGGCATGGATATGATGAAAGTACTTGGAAATAAAAGAAATGCGGCGATTTTGTCTCGTCCTTCAATAATGACACCAAAAACCTTATATCTAAACTATACAACGAAATATGTTATTACACACACACACACACATACACACATATATATATATATATATATATATATATATATATATATATAGTGGACTCTCCGTCGTATTCGACGCATGGTCGAGCAGTTCAGATCCTAAGAAGCGACATCCCAGACACCAGCACATGATTTGATTATAGTGGTGAAGCCTTTGTGCAGAACCAACCATACTTTTTGAAGGTCCGAATACATAGGCCTGGTGCACTACGTGCCACAAGGTTCTCAAACGACCCTCCACAGGTTTTAAATTCAGAGTTGTCCTTCTCCTAGACCAGTTGCCATGTCTTCTGCTATTGGAGGGAGAAGAAGATCAATACCTTTCCCAAGGGGATTAGCACGTAAGTGAACGTAATGGATTCAACTGGAATTCGAATTCGGCTCTCCGATTCCTCTATCCGAGCCGTTATCCACTACGCCCCCTCTCTCTCTCTCTTTCTCTCTCTCTCTTTATGTATATATATATATATATATATATATATGCCCTCCTTCTGTGTCAATGACTTGCTGAAGATACTTGGTGAATGACTCGCGTGAGGCTCGAATAAAACTTTGGAGGATTTTGTCTCATTTCTTCAAGAGACCCCAAACTGTCGTGGTGTGTAGCAATAACTTTGTTTTCGAAGTTACCCCAGATGCTGTAGTCAAGAGGCTACAGATCTTTTGATGCTCCTTGAAACTAACATTATGTTCGTTTTTAATGATTTAGTAATACCCTATGGAGAGTACATTGCTTTTTACATTTCTAAAATAGAGATTCTTTGAGTTAAATGTTTATCTATTTTCAAATCCAATGACGGAAATGATCAAATATACATCCTTCTGCAAATTAATTGAAACAAATGAAATAATTCCGTTGTTATTTACATTTTTACGTATTTTTCCAATAGAACATGAGCCAGTACACATGTTAGTACTTCGTATGTCTATTCCACGAAATCGCTCCTTGCAGATTGACCACAGAGTCTCGATTAGATTTAAATCAGGAGAGTTTCCCGGCCAATCTATAGTACTTTGATTTGCTCACTGGTAAGGCTTGTTAGTGTGTTTGTGCAGCGTTACAATTTTCGTACGCTTCCTTGAAGTAATGTCCATCGCAGACGATGGTCATAGGACAACTAATCGACAGTCGAGACAATAGTGTCTGGGTGTGATGAAAATCTGATGCAATCACGGATGACTCAATATTTTTCAAAGCCAAACAAATTTCCTCATACACCCCGAAAATAGATTCATATTACGGACCACTGCTGCAAATGACCTAATCTGAGGAAAAAATAAAAATCGATTACACCCTATCACTCCAGTGGGTCTAAAACTGACCGTATGGTGAAAGAAAGGAAACTAAAGTGATTATTTCAATTCATTCGCTCAATGGTGTAGGAAATAAATACTATAACATCTCAAAAAATTATAAATTTTTTTTAAATTTAATTAAATTTAAATTTATCTGAAGATAACAATAAATAATGAATACCCTGTATTTTCTAAAAAACATATGATTATATAACCTTTTTTATTTTAGTTTTGCACGTCACTATATCTAACATAGGTATAATGATAGGTGTTATTTCCCCACCTTGTCTGTCAGGAAAAATTTCCTAATGCACAAACCCTCTCTCTCTCTCTCTCTCGCTCTCTCTCTCTCTCTCTCTCTCTCTCTCTCTCTCTCTCTCTCTCTCTCTCTCTCTTTAACTTTCTCCATCTCTTTCTCACTCACTTTTTCTTTCTCTCGTTCTCATATGCCCCCCTCTCTCTCTCTCTCTCCCTGTTATATATAATCATTTTATAGAGTTGGTTTAAAACTTTTGCACGCCACTATCATGCTACTAGGTTGGCATATCGGTCCCACCCTTTTACTGTCGAAACAGTTAAATGTAACCGCCTCTTCTACTCCAACAGCTTCTTCTCTCACACTTCCCGAAAGTGTAACTCCCTTCCTCCTACTTGCTTCCCAGATAGCTATAATCTTCAAATATTCAAATGTAATGTCAATCGACATCTCTGATCCCTTGATCCTAAACCCCGTCCTTCTCTTCATCCTTTCCTCAAACAACCCTCTTTACTCTTCTATAACCCCTTCCTTGCTAGTGACACTTCCACCTTGCTTGGGGTGAATTGCTTAAAAAAAACGTGTAATGTTGTGTGTTATTACCCCACTTTGACTCTAGGGGTAATTTCCTGATGCCCGATAAGTGGCGTTGAATAAAGCATTATAGTAGTAAGAAGCACAAACCCTCTCTCTCTCTCTCCCTTTACCTCTCTCTTTCTTACTCTTACTCTTTCTCTCTCTCACTCTCTTTCCCTTTAACTCTCTCTTTCTTACTCTCTCTCTCTTTCCCTTTACCTCTCTCTTTCTTACTCTTACTCTTTCTCTCTCTCACTCTCTTTCCATTTATATCTCTCTTTCTTACTCTCTCTCTCTCTTTCCCTTTATCTCTCTCTTTCTTACTCTTACTCTTTCTCTCTCTCTCTCTCTCTTTCCTTTTTTTCTTTCTTTTCTCTCTCTCTTTCCTTTACTCTCTCTCTCTTTCCTTCTTTCTCTTTCTATCTCTCCTCTCTTTCCCTTTACCTCTCTCTTTCTTTCCTCTTTCTATTTCTCTCTCTCTTTCCCTTTACTTTTTCTTACTCTTACTCTCTTTCCCTTTACCTCTCTTTCTTACCTCTCCTCCTTTACCTCTCTCTTTCTTACTCTTACTCTTTCTTTCTCTCTCACTCTCTTTCCCTTTACCTCTCTCTTTCTTACTCTCTTTCTATTTCTCTCACTCTCTTTCCCTTTACCACTCTCTTTCCCTTTACCACTCTCTTTCTTACTCTCTCTCTCTCTTTCCCTTTACCTCTCTCTCTCTCTCTCTCTCAAACTACAGGATGCCGTAAGAGTAAAATTTGTGTTTTTTCCCCTCCGAAGGACTTTTTAAGCCTCAACGAACCATATATCGCATACAAAACAGTTCTAACGCGGCAATGTCTCTTATTCAAAAAAAAAAATCCCATCCGACCACAATATCCCAACTACAACCTATCGTATACAAATATTCTACTATTGAAATAACTAGATGTTTTATTCTAATAATTTCTTTCCTCGCACTTCTTGCCTGTGGAACTCTCTACCGATTCCTTGTTTCCCTGCCGGCTGCAATCTTCAAAAAACTCTATCGTATGTAAATATATCAATTCTCAACTTTTAGACCCCGGGATGTTAGCGTAGATGGGAGAACGGGCCCGGACCCGGGGATTTCCAACGCCGAGGCAGTACCTTCTCCATTGCACTGTGAGGTGGGTTAATATTGATGACAGCGTGACAGTGGGCACTCCACGTAAAGGACAACCTTGTGTCACATCCTGCCTTCGTGGGGGAGTCAGATAAATAAAAAATACAATTCTCTCTCTCTCTCTCTCTCTCTCACCAAAAAAAAAACAAAAAAACATGAAAGTTGTTTCTCTTCAACAATCGAGACAGCGTGGCTGCAGTCTAAGGAGTCCCGTGACAGCTGCAAGAAAAAATCTGAGATAATTCAAGATGGTAAAGGAAATGAAACCTTGGATCATGGGGGGGGGAGAATCTAACGTTCCTCACAACTAAAGCTCACTCTGCAGGATAGGCAAAAGTTCTCTTGAGTGCGGTATAAATTTCGCCTGGACTACATTGGACTTCGTTAACATAAAATTGTTGGGATGGTTTCACTCCCAATACAAAACAACAATACCATATTTGTTTGAATGCAGGACTTACGGCCACATCACGTTGAAACACCGGTTTCCCTTCGATCAATAAAGTTAAGCAACGTCGAGCCTAGTCAGTACTCAAATATTTGACCGCTTGGGAATACAAGGTGCTGGATGCATGGGTGGTTCATGGATAATGTCTGGGAGTTGTTAATTGCAGAGGCGAGTTTCAATTCCAAATGGGTTCGTTATATTCACTTACGTGCAAATATTCTTGGAAAAAATATATGCATATACCTCTTCTACCCCCAGGTATGGGTTAATTAGTAAATCTTATATAAATAAATCATTATTATCTGAAAAAAATTATTACAATATAAAAAATATTTTCTGGCTTTAAATAACTCACAAAGGGTTGATAAACCGTAGAAAACGAATCAATCAAATGCTGATTGGCTACAGAGAAATGTAAATGTATAGAAACTAAGTGAGTGATCAGTTTATATATTGATTGTGATATAGAATTGATCCCCCACTTTATATCCACATTATAATTTCTTATTTGTTTATATAATTCTGATTAGGTATGAATCCAGCTCTTTCCCCCCGGCTATGGGTTAATTAGTAAGACACGTATCACTAAATCATTACTGAAAAAAACTTCTTGTAATGTAAAAATATTTTCTGGTTTGAAATAACCTGCAAAGGGTTGATAAGCCGTAGAAAATGAATCAATCAATTGTAAATCATACTTATTATAAAACCCAGGTTGTGTGTGTGTGTGTGTGTGTGTGTGTGTGTACGTTTATATATTGGATCGGATTTCTTACATTTTTCAACTGATTTCAAGAAAACTTCACAGGCCTATGTAAAATTACCTTGCGGTGGTTCTGACAGCGCCAAAAATTGGAAAACACAATTGTTTTTGCCCCAAATCAATTTGAAAACACGATTAAGAGGCATCGCGAGAATGAAAGGGGGACAACTCATATCGAGTTATACTTACAAAACCCAGGTTGTGTGTGTGTGTGTGTGTGTGTGTGTGTGTGTGTTCGTTTATATGTGGGATCAGATTTCCTACATTTTTCAACCGATTTCAACAAAACTTCACATTTTTTTTGGCAGGTAGTGTTTCTTATTGTCTTGCACACTTTTTTCTTTATTTTTACATTCAGAATGCTTTAAAAATTCCATTTACAAGACAATTGTTTATAATAAAATTCTATTCAATCGGTAGACTCATAACGATTGAAAACAATGTTTTTCTTTGAGTTTGGGTTTGACCAATTCGTAAAAAAAAAAACTAATTAAGACATGCGTGTCCGTCAACCTTAAACAATAATCTTTGTCAATTTTATTTTTCAGTCTTTATGATGGTCGATACGTGATCTATCTCTTACTGTTACATCCCCGGGCAACGCCGGGCTCTACTGCTAGTGGCATTATAAATTTCTCGTGGAGATTAAATTTTTTACTGATTATTTTCGGTCTATCGTTGAGATTAACCGTGAATACTTTAGTACCGCGAAACAATGGTACGATTTTGCTGAGGAGCAATGAACCTAGACATGAAGAATAACACAGAAGGCGTGAAACTACCAGTCACCATGCAGTGTTGAATTCTGTCCACGTTGCCATAACAGTAGTAGTAGTAAGGCATCCATTTATCTCTCGAGATAATGGTAGTCCCCTGTTTGTTCAAAATCCAGTCCTTTGTTGGCGAGACTGGATTTTGATGTTGGTATATGGTGGCTATGCGCTGCCTAGACTAAATGACCCTCTTTTGGTCGTAATGACAAGATCCGAAAGAATTCAAAAAATGATGTTTGGAATCGGTTTGGCTGCAGGAGTTAACAGAAATTTGTCAGTGTTGACAGCCAACCACCTTCTGATCGCCAATCCGAATTTTCTTCCATAGCCTTTTTTCCGTGTTTGGATATGAACCAATGCAGAAGAGGTTTAAGAATTTTCCTTCCTCACTCCGTCATATGTAAAGCTTTTTCAAAAGAATTTAAAATAGAGCACTCTTATATATATAAAAGAAAAGGATAGATATATTTTCATTTATTACTTTCTATTATTTATAATTTAAAGAGTTATAATAATAATGTTTGACGACTATCCAGTTAAGTAGCTAAAATATAAAAATAACATTAATTTCTCGTATTTGGTACCGAACTGTGCGAGCAACTCTATGTGTAATGTTTCTGTAGTGAATGTGAAATAATAACGTCCTTCGCCCACTCCCTTCAAATTCAGAGGACTGAGGAAGAAGGAGGAAAGAAATTCACGAGCCTATATGAGATTTTTGCGTTTCACAGAAATTAAGGGGTGAGCCGAGAAGACATAGAAAAGGAATTCGCGAGCCTATATGAAATTTATTTTGACCAATGAAAGCCTTGCCTTCACAGAAATTAGTCGGTGAGCCAAGAAGAAGGAAAGAAAGTATCGAGCCTACGCGAAATTATTTTTTATATAAAATGAGGATAAAAATTAAATTACCGTATATACTCGCCTATCATGCGACTTTCGAGGACCTAATTTTGAAGCTAATTTTAAGAGGGTTGCATCATACACGTGATATAAAATTAGCGCATGTACTGCTGGTCCTGGCAACGCCGTTGACCAAACTATATATCCATTTACTATAGTCAAAAAGTACAGCTGTATTTAAAATAAACACCGCGCGTTACACGAGTATATACGGTAATCAAAAGCGTCTCTGAAGTTATGTGAAAGGTTTCGTTTTAGTTCCTCGCGACCAGTGTTGAAGTACTCCCCAATGTAAAATTACTCGCCAATTATTTTATCGGCCTCTAACCTGTATGTGTCACTTCAAAAAATTTTCTCTTAACAATCGAAGAAAGCTAAATATTTCAAACTGTCTCTCTTCGTCTACCTTTAAACTTATGCAATCTATATATCCCTTCAGTGAGTAATGAACTCTCTTACCTTTTTGTTTTATACATTCTTGAATATCATTTTGTGTCAGATCATTTAATCTGTTGTATGAACATTTCCTTTTCATGACAATTTGTTAAAACTACGAACTTTAAGAATTCTGATTTATTTTCCTGAAACGAGCTAGAGACACTACTTCAAGCGTGTAAATTCGTGAATAAATTCTTTATCTTGTTTTATTCAAATTACCCCTGTGTTTCCTTGTACCTCATGCTTCATGATTTTATCATGCTTCATTAATCTTCTTGGCGTGGGTAAACCATCTGTTCATTTTAACCCCTAAAGCCCACGTCACTATATTTCCACCACGTTATAATAACAATAAAGTTGAGGATATTACATTATTTACATTATTCGAACTATTGTCCTCATCTTTGTCGCCATATTTATTACAACGTTTCGGCCTTCTTCAGGTGGTTAGAATGTCGAACTGAACCTTTTATTTCGCTCACTTGGGTAGACTGTTCTAGTTCAACATGTCATGTTTAATGGATGTCAGGTATCAGTTATCTCCTGTTAATTTCCCTTTGAAAGTTCTCCACTGCCTTAACCGGGTATTGAACTCACACTCTTTAGGTCCTGTCACTGGATCTAACTAACGCCTTTATCCACTGTGCCATGTGTCCTTGAGCGAAATAAAGGGTTCAGTTCGACATTTCAACCACCTGAAGAAGGCCGAAGCGTACAACGGCCGAAACGTTGTAATAAATATGGCGACAAAGATGAGGACAATAGTCCGAATAATGTAAATAATGCACATAATACCTCATCTCAGAAATATAGACAGATACTTGAGGATATTAGTCTGATTGTAAATAAAAACTTCTCAATCCAATCCAGAAATTTAGAGAACTAGGCTAAAGATGATGTTCAGTGAATTCATTTTTAAACGCTTTCTGTAACTGACAAATTCAAGAAACATTATTTACGCGTACAAATAAATTAATTTTTAAATCTGTTATTTCTAAATCTATCGCGCCAATCCTTTTTGTGGATTTCCATTTTAAAAAGAATTTTAAGTCTTCTTTAAATTTCAAATTGTCATCCAGAATTAGAAAAAAAATGTCTTGTAAATCATAGCTTATCTCCACTTAGTTTTGGCAATTGAAAATCCCCCTATTAAACTGGTCTGGGAGGGAGGATGTTAGAGTGTCCCGAGGGATAAACGTGACAACATAATCACGAACGTTGTAAACTTCACTGCACCCACACGAAGCCAACTTGAAAGTCAAAACAAAGTACAATTGTTTGCTTACCACTAGAAACCTTTTCCGAGCAATCAGTACTTAAACAAATATTTCAAACTAGCCTAGAAGCCATCCATTCGGGCGGACATTAGGCTAGCTCCTGCGGAGGGATTTTTGGGCCTTCGGCTTTTTATCTTCAGTGTCCTCTGTACGTAAAAGTTATAAGCATTTAGAAATAATAAAATTATTTTATCTTCATTCGACACCTTAATTCGACATAATCTTTCTTCGTATACGCAACCGATATCCGTAGTTTATTTACATTTACTTTGCGCGCAGTTTTTATTTTCTTTTAAAATCACCATTTTCTTATGATCTCTTCATATAAAATCACTCTTAAAAGACGTCACAGAACGCATGCTAGAAAAAAAAACATATGAGCAACGTACCGTGCCCAACTTAAATTTTATTTACGGTTTATTTAAACGACATCAATGCGACGAAAAGCGAAGTTAAAGTTAAACTTTTAATAAAGAATTGCTTAATAAACCTTTCACTCTGTTCGATATTTAAATTTAACTTTAAATAGTTTATTTAATTTTTAATCGCATGTAACAACAGTAGTTACTACCTGTTACTTCAGGTTGTTTATGATTCGCCAAGATCGAAAAACGGACGGACGGACACACGTACACCACGCTTTATTTAAATTAATTAATACCAACATCTTGAATTAGAAGTTATAGCTGCACTAATTTTACAACTTGGGATGGAATCCGGAGTGCGCTATAAATTAAACAACGTTACTTCAAACCCGATCGCTTGTCTTCTTTCCTGCTGGGAATTAAAGAAAACTACTATTGAACTGTTACATAATATCAGTGTTCCGATATGGCAGTGAATGCTGGACAATCTCCTCATGGATGAAAAGGAGACTTGAGGCAGCAGATATGTGGTTCTCCAGGAGGATGATGAGGATACCATGGGCCGAATATGCGAGCAATGACGGAGTTTAGAGAAAACCGTAAC